ACTACATCAGTGGACAAGGGAAGAGCTACGGATGTTATCTGTCTGGATTTCTGTAAGGCCTTTCACATGGTCACCCACAACATCCTTCTCTCTACATTGGAGAGAGATGGATTTGATGGATGGACTGTTGGTGGATGAGGAATTGGTTGGATGGTCGAATCCAGAGGGTAGTGGTCAATGACTCAATGTCCAGATGGAGATTGGTGACGAGTGGTGTCCCTGTGGGCTCTGTGTATTGGGACCAGTACTCTTGAATATCTTCATGAATGACATAGTGGGATTGAGTGCACCCTCAGCATGTTTGCAGAAGACACCAAGCAGAGTGGTGCGATTGACATGCCTGAGGGATGAGATGCCATCCAGAGGGACCTGGACAAGCTCGAGTAATAGGCCTGTGTGAACCTCATGAGGTTCAACGAAGCCAAGTGCAGGGTCTTGCACCTGGGTCGGGGCAACCGCTGGGGCAAATCAGTACAGGCTGGGGGAGGAAGGGATGGAGAGCAGCCCTTCCGAGGAGAGCTTGGGGGTACTGGTGGATAGGCTGGATAGGAGCTGGCAATGTGTGCTTGCAAGCCAAAAGGCCAACCGTCTCCTGGGCTGCATCCAAAGCAGCGTGGCCAGCAGGTCGAGGGAGGGTATTCTGCCCCTCTGCTCCGCTCTGGTGAGACCCCACCTGGAGTCCTGCGTGCAGCTCTGGAGCCCTGAGCACAGGAGAGACATGGACCTGTTGGAGTGGGTCCAGAGGAGGCCACAATATTGGATCAGAAGGATGGAACACCTCTCCTGTGAGGCCAGGCTGAGAGAGTTGGGGTTGTTCAGCCTGGAGAAGAAAAGGCTCTGGGGACACCTTCTTGCAGCTTGCCAGTACTTAAAGGGGCCATTAAGAAAGACGGGGACAGACTTTTTAGCAGGGCCTGCAGTGACAGGACAAGAGATAATGGTTTTAAACTAAAAGAGGGCAGATTTAGACTAGATCTAAGGAAGAAATTTTTCCCACTGAGAGTGGTGAACCACTGGCCCAGGTTGTCCAGAGAGGTGGTAGATGCCCCATCCCTGGAACCATTCCAGGTCAGGTTGGACGGGGCTCTGAGCAATGTGATCTCGTTGCAAATGTCCCTGCTCACTGCAGGGAGTTGGACTAGATGACCTTTAAATGTCCTTTACAGCCCAAAGATTCTCTGATACTGTGTTTTATTTTGACCTATTCATTAGTTTGCGTGAAGAGACATGATTGTGTTCAATGAGTTAACTTGATTTAATGGATAGTTAAAAAGCAAGAGTTAGTATGCTTAAGAGAATTGTCTTACAATGTTTTTAAATTGGCTTCTTATGTGTTTTAATTAAGTGTTTTCTTGGAGAAACATGAGTCTTCAGACTCACTGCGTTTAAATGCAAAAGATAAAAAAATTCCAGTACAGGTAGAAATTTTAAAAAAATTGTATTTGAATGCTTCCTCTGGACTCAAGCACATTGAACATAGTATGTGTCACTGATCCTTTGTTTTCCTTTATGAACTAAGTTTCAGATGGGGACAGACTTTTTAGCAGGGCCTGTAGTGACAGGACAACAGGTAATGGTTTTAAATTAAAAGAGAGTGGATTTAGACTACATCTAAGGTTGCAACTAGTGACCGTTGCTTCTCATTCTTTGACAGTGCACCTCTTAGAAATTGGCTTGGTCTTCTCTGCAAGCCCTCTCTTCCTTTGCTTAGCTGAAGTCTTTAAGGAGATTCCCTGTCCTTGATTTGCTCTTCAGGCTGAGTTAACTCTGCTCTCAGCCTCTCATGTGCTCCAGCCTGTTAGCCACCTTGACCTCCCTCAGCTGGGCTTCCCCCCTATCAATATCTATCTTGTAGGTGACTAAAGCTGGACATGGTATCCAGGTACAGTTTCTTGAGTGCTACAGAGAGGAAGAATCACTTTCTTTTACTTGCTGCTTATTCTCTTGCTAGTGTAGCCCATGTGCGTGCACAGGTGGGCTCCTGACTCATGTTCAGCATCTTGTCTGTCAGGATGCCCAGGTCCGTTTCTGCAGAATTGCTCTCTAGCATGACAGTCCTCAGCTTCTATGTCTGCATGGCATTACCCTGTCCAGTGTAGAGGACTTTGGTTTTGTCGTTGTTGAGCTTCATGAGGTTTCTCTCTGCCCAGTCCTCCAGCTTGTTGAGGTCCCTCTGAACTGAGGCTCTACTCTCTTTTGTATCAACTACTAATTCCGACTTAACGTCATCTACCAACATGCTAAGAGTATGTTTTGTCCCGTTATCCAGATCATTAATGAGGATGTTAATCAGCATCACCCCTACTGTCAACCTTGCAGGAGCAACAGATGTAACCAGTCTCCAGTTGACCTCGGTACCCTTTGAGCCCTTCTAGCTCAGACTGTTTTTCACACTACTTGTAATGTTGCCATCCAGTCCCCATCTCTCTAATTTGGTTACAAAAGGATGCTACGGGATCCTGCATAGATAGCCTTGCTCAGCTGAAGTAAATTATACCCACTGCTTTCCCCTTGTCCATAGAGACAATCTTTTCGTTAGAAAGGGCCATGATATTGGCTAAGTGTGGTTTATCCTTGATAAATCCATTCTGGCTTGGCAATTTGCAACATGCTTTGTGCTGGTGAGGTGACCGTTGCCTTCAGCCCTGCCCTGAGTAAGGAGCACCTCATAGTCCCCGTAGGTGTCTTCCCTCAGGATTTTGTCTTGGTCTAATCCCCTGACATGCCAGGCTGGCTGCTCAGGCTGGGGACCTTGCCTTGCAGCAGGTCACCACCTCTGTTATTCAGACCCATCAGTCTCACAGAGTCTTGAACAATGTCTCCAGGCTTCCTGTGTAGCCCCTCTCGCAGCAATGGCTGTGCCAACTGCCTTGGTCCTGGTTGCTGGAGCTCCCTAGGGTCAAGTCTCTGGGAGGCTGGATCTGAGCCCCTTCGCTGCCTCGCGGCATTTCCTGCTCAGCAGGAAAACTCCTGCACTGTCTTTTTGCTCCCAACTGCTGCTCACTTACCTCCTGAATGCTGCCGGGTGCTGCATACTCCTTCCTTCTGCTCTGCTCCCTGGACAGGGAGTGGAAGCCGTTCTGCATTTGATATAAAGCATTGTCTATGTGTAAAATGTCATTACTAATAATAGTTATTTATTAAGATCTGGTGCAGTCATGTAAACATATCTTTCCTTTAAATGTCTGTCTTTCAGAACGGCCATAGCCAGTGTTTTTTGTACATAGGTAATGTTTTGCTATTTCAATTGAAGATGTAGCCAAAAATTCGGAAGCTTCTTTCTCTCTGCATTTTTATGAATTGCCTGGGGGGCTTTTTTTATCGGAAAGAAGGCATCATGATGAGCAGTCCCATAATCTTTGACTTGAACTCCTTCTGACTGAAACCATAGGAAATTTTTTTCCTCCATTAGTAGTCTCCTACAGATTGCCTTTGCTGTCCTTCAGAGGGACAGGTAGTCTTAAGGATCCCTTTCCTGCCAGGAGCCATGGTGAAAAAAATACGAGATTTTTTTCATGGCTGGCATGTGTGTCTGAGTTCATTGCCCGCCTCCTGCCAGGAATGTACGAGGTGATTGCCGAGGACTCTGGAAATCAAATCTCTGGGCCAGTGAAGTTAAAAGACTCCTGATATCTATAAGCTGGGCAAGAAATTGCAGTTAAAGCTCTGCAGAGTAATAATGTAGCTTGGAATAAGACCTTAACAAGCAGAAATTGTTGCAGTAGGATTCCCAGAAGCTGTAGAAGATGGCAGAACTTATGCAGAAAATGTATTCTGTTTGTAATCACCAGAGAATTAACAGATACACGCTGAATGAGTGTTTTTATTACTGGTCCAGGCCTGGATGCTATCTGTTTGTAGGAAGTCAAGAATGAGAAAACTCAGATGAAGGGAAAAATTGCCTGTAATTTGCATCCTTCAAAGGATGATAAAGATAACATACCTCCTGATAAGGAGGTATGTTAAAATAATCTAATTGCAACTGAGGACAAAAAGCTGAGTGCCATCTGTCCTACCTGGCGGTTTTGATGTGAGATATAAAAAGATGATAGGTACTGTATGGACACAGAAGCTTAATTAATTTAGAGGAATGAACATATTTTCTGTGGCACTAAAGTAACATCTCTAGCCACGTGTTTGCTTTTGTATTTTTGCTGCTGCTCAACACTGTCATTTAAAAACTAATTTAAGTTTTTAAACTCTTTGTGGTTTAAGTTTTGCATTGTCCACCAGTTTAAGTTACAGTACAAGCTCAGATTGCTTTCTGGAGGAAAAAATGTCAGCAGTGGAGGCTCTGAATTATATAAAGAAGATCCTCAGTTAAGATTTATAATGTATTTTAATTGAAGATTTTAGAGAAGTCTTTATTCCCAAGTATAAAAGGACTTCTTCAGGATTTCTAGTGTAGGAGAAATACGGCAATGTGGGATGGATTGGCAGTGGTGATACTCAATGATAGGTCAGGAATTGAATATCAGTGGGTGACCAGGAGGAAAGGAGTGATTGCCCTATAGAAAATAATACAGCAGCAATTCAAATATTCCTGTCTGGGGAGAGCTGAGACTGAGCATGAGCTTGTGTGTCAACCATGTGCATGGTAGGCTTGTCTGTGATGGAGACTGACAGTGCAGACATACCTAATAAAAATAGGAGAATTACCCTTGTATTCTGAACAATTAGTTAAAAAAAAAACCCTCATGTTGTTCGTATTGCCGGTGTATTTTCATCTAGGCACCGTAAGTTTCTCTTGTCAGTTTTTCTAACCTGTAAATATTACTTTGTATTTCCACACTGATGCTGTTTTCCAACAGAGACAGGTGCTTTTCAGTGATTGAACATTTCTGTTGGGTGCATAAAACATTGTGATTTTCCAAGCTGTAAAACATTATTGTGATCTTTATTAATAATATCACCTAAATTTTGGAAATTGGCTTTGAAAGGGGAGAGAAAAGTAGTCTTACTTTGAGGACTTAAAGTAATTGATTCTCCCTCTATTTCAGGTACTCCCATTGGAAAACAGAATGAAGGACGCCACACGTTTCCCACAGGCGCTAAATATTGGCATGGGAATAGTCATGGCCTTGTATATCTCATTAGCCACTCTAGGGTATCTGCGCTTTGGGGATGAAATCAAAGGCAGCATAACTTTAAACCTGCCACAGGATATATGGTAAGTGCATATGTGACTTAACCAGTAAACTAGAAGGCAAAAATGTGGCAAAAATTGTTCCATGCCTCACTGCTGTCATGCTTATAACCAATAGGTGCTCAAACTCGTCTAAAAGAGGTGTACTGTATATACTATCTCTATGCCTGCTACACTTGAGCTATGATCCTAGCCAGCAATTTCTTGCATATTAAAAGGGATTGCATATGGAAACAGAACAATGGTATTTAGACTATGAAGTATTCCATCTCTAGCAGGAGCTAGTTCGAGGTGTACTGAAGGAGGGAATATGCAGTTTGCAACCAGCTATACTGCAGCTCTAAAACCATCTAGTTTCACCTTGGATATCTTGGTAATATAGTGGCCTTTTTTAGTGGAATCACTGAGTTTAGCAGGTAAATAAATGGAATAGAAGACATCAAAACTGAACAGATTTGTAGTTCAGGTGCAAGTCCATGGATAACGCATAACAATGGCTTCCTGTCAGGAAAATTAAGCTTATGCTTGCCAGTGTCTCAGGGATATTATAAATTTTATTTAGCTCTTTTTTTTTTTAATGCTATGAGAGCTCCACATGTTACGTGCTGAAGAAGTGCTGAAGACTGTTTCAATGGGTGCACTGTTAGTTCTGTATCTATCTATGGGTGCATATATACTGTAACTATCAATTTAAACGTAACTTAATTTTTTTAGTACCTTTACATCTGATGGGCCTAAAATTAGGTATATCAGCAGTGCACAAGTGAAAAGCTGAAAAGTATTTTAATGTTTTCATTCTGATCAAGTAATGTCCTACATGTTGCATCTACTTGTTTGGTGTCTGTTCTGGTAGCTTATTGAAGTAATGAAATCTCAAATTATATGAAACAAAAACTGCTTTGCTGAACTGAATGCTGACTCCCTTTTTACTCTTTGAAAAAGAGTAGAACACCTTTAAAATGTGTTCTTAATTTTCAAATGTTACTTTTTCACAATCTCTTTATTCCATTTGCATTCCTTGTAGTCAGTATGAGCTATGCATTTTTAATATTCTTCAAAAGTTTTGTTTAATTGTCTGAGTCCAATGATAAATGCATGAAATGATAATAAAATCCATCTTGAAGGATGAATGTTTTTTGTCGGTTGCTAGAATTTTCATGTGTGTGTTGTTGCTTTTTTGCTTGTTTTGTTTTTGTGCTGCTATTATAAAAATTGAGATTTGGGCCTCAATTTCTTGCTTTTTTTTTTTTTTTTCTATTTTTTCCTATGTTTTTTGAGGCATATTGCTCATTATACATATTTGTGTCCTTTCATTGGATATACATTAAAAGAACTAGGTCTTCAAACACTGCATTTGTTCTGTCTATATGATGCATCTGAAAGGGAAAATACTTCTGTTTGTAATGTTACATGGTATTGCTCACTGTTGGTATGATTAGTGAAAAGTTTGTTTTAAATGGTAGATGTGGGTTTATTTGTGCCTCAGAAGTGTGCTTAAAAGGGGAAGAAGGAGGAGAATGTGGAATATAAGGTGAAGTTGCTCACTCTGTTGCTTTTTATTCTGCTTGTGCAAGCAACAGGATGAACTTTATTCTGCTGTAATATTCTGTTTATTCTGCAGCCCTGCTGTCGAACAGGGCTGTTCAAATAAGAGTTTTCAAGTAGCTCTTGGCTACAGTGCAGTTGTGATAGGATAATATTTATCCTGATGGCTTTACAGACCCTAATGCAAAGAAAGACAGTAAAAGAGATGGAAACTGGTGCTCTATAAGATGGAGGGTTGGCATTATAAGTTTAATAACCTCAAAGCTGCTCAGGGCAGATATGTAGAGATACAAGTCATCTGTTTTCTTCTTACCCTGGGTACTACCCCAGAGCACCAGACAAAATCGGGAGGAGCTCAGTGGTACGCCCATGGGTTGTGATGTACGATGCTATCGCTGCGCAGTACTGTGGGTATACCTGATAAGGTACTGATGAGCAAATGTGTGCAAGTAACTGTGCTAGCAAAACAAACTTCCAGTGAACCATATGACACTATTTTGTTATTTGATCCTCACATAAAAAGCCAGTAAGTGGCTGGATCGAACTAGAGAAACTCAAGGAGTGGATGAGTTTTTACAAGAAAGCTGTCATGCAAAAGAGCCTGGAATGTAGCTAAGCAGTGAGACTTGGCTTATGTGTTTAATTCCAGCTGGACAATCCCTGTCTTAAGAATAAGCCTTTGCTGATAGAAAATGAGAATTCTGCTGCTTTGAGTTTTATTTGATGTTCTTGCGGATGAATTGACCGGAAGGCATACGCAGACCCTAGACCTTAAGTTCTTAAGTTTAATTTAAATAGAGGACTGCTCATATTCTTAAAAATGTTCTGCTAAATTGGAGCTTCGGGAGAAGTGACTACTTGTAGTGCTAGTTTAGATTGTGTTTTGGTATACACGTTGTTACTCACCATCATATATTAATTAGAATATGCTGAAAATTCACTTTGTGAAAAGAGAGTACATTTCAGCTGATCTTTACTTTCCACTGATCTTTTCAGTGTTTTTGCTGATCTTTAACAACAACTTATTTTTGGAATAAAATAGTTATAATTTACTGCATTAAATAATTTTTTACATGCAGTTATGTTTAGCTGTTTGGAATATCTTAGCAATTGTTTTTGATATCCTCAGAAGTCTGCAGAGTACCTAGTGGCATGAATCTTTTTACTCAGTTCATTGCTGACTCAGGAGAGGACACACAGGCAGGGTATAGTTTACCTGATTTATTCATGATTACTAGATGCCTCCTGACCCAAGCCAAAGAGGGGCACTGTTTGTCTGAAACAGCACGTTTATAGTAAAAAAGTACATAATTACTGTTATGTGACCATCAGTTCAAACCAATTCCTGCAACATCTGCAAATACAGATTATGGGAAATTCTGCTTTAGTGCCTACTAGTGGCCTTGGTTGGGGTCTCATAGAACAGTTTGGGTTAGAGAGGACCTTTAAAGATCATCTATTCCAAACCCCCCTGCCATGGGCAGGGGCATCTTTCACTAGATCAGGTTGCTCAGAGCCCCGTCCAACCTGACCTTGAACACTTCCAATGATGGGGCATCCACATCTTCTGTGGGCAGCCTGTTACAGTGTCTCACCACCCTTACTGTAAAAAATTTCTTCTTTGTCCTTGGCTGGCATCTCATCTTCTTCAGGCTGAAGTTTCTTTCCACCATCTGTTCTTCATTAAGATATAAATGAGAGTCTTTGTGCAACAGTTCCCTTACTGTGAATCCCAAAGGTTAACTACCATACAAATATTACAACATGTTACAGTTCAACAAGATGTTATATGATGCTAGTTCAAGTGGAAGCCTAGCATAATTAATGCCCTGTTGGGTCTAGCTGTATTGTTATGCAAGTTTTGTTACACTAGTTTCCAGTTTTTTTCCCTTTAGAGGTACAACAAAATCTAAAACGTGTAATTGGAGAGGCAGACTTCTGTTAACTTCTTTTAGCACATATGAATGATTTATAATTTTTTAAAAAGCTAGCCTAAGAGACATCTTTAGCTGATTGGATTATAATATTAAATTACTAATAAAATCATCATAATAATATAAAAATTGTTTCCTAATTTGAAAAAATGTAAACCTTGTAGAGCTAGAAAAATAGTGTAATGGAGATGCTTAGTTTGAACGACTGCATATTTAAAGCTTTGAATCCTGTTTTTTAATATCTTTTAAAAATTAAATTTCTAAAACTTAAAAATTTAAAGGTTTGGGGTGATCTGAAGCCTAGAGGATTATAGGCTAATTGTGGGTAACTGGTCAGTTTCTATTTTTGTTAACTAGCTAAAATCCAACTAAGCTTCTGGGATAAGGACAGCAATGCAGAACTGATAGAAAAGTGACTCTCTTTTTTCCTCTAAATTTCTAAAGCTGCTTAGCAATCAAAAAATGTGTTACAAACCAGTGGCTTCTAAACTAGCTACACCATTATGTCACCATATAAAGTGATCTAATAGTTTTTCTGTCCTTTTGAATATGCCTTTGACGGTGATGGTCAAACCTTTGACACAAATAATTTAGGACCTGTTAGTCAAAATGTAGATTTAGTCAAAGGGTATTTTTCTTTTTTCCCCATATATATGCTTTTAATTCTCTCTGTTTATTTGTTCAGATAACAAAAAAAGCTGATTTTTTTTGTTAGCAGTCTTTCAGTACCATCAAAAATTGGTAACTTGATGAACTGGCTTGCAGTTGTGAGATGAGAAGCACGTAAGACTGGGCTGAAAGGGCTATTCAAGTTCATCAGCTGTGTTCCTTTGCTCAAAACCACTCCAGTGCACCAAAACCATTATTGTCTGTGTGTTCAACACTTCCTTCAAAATGTTGAAGAAAGGATGAGGGAGGCATCCTCTTGTGGTGGGAAAGAGCTGAGATGTATGGCTACAAATTTGCCATGCCATCCCATTTGGACACAGGACAAGGGGCCAAAAGCAGTCCTGGCCGGATTTTATTTAGTAATAACATATACAGGCCCTTATACTCAAAAGAGAGCACACTTTGAGTGATGCCTGCTAGGCTTTGAGAGGTACAGAGACAAGGGTCTAATTTGTTCTTTCCC